AACGCAAACTAGTAGCTGAATAACAGAATTTTCACCTGCTAGGTAATGTGAATGTTAAGTTGAATAATGAAGACGACTTGTCTTCAGTCTCTGTACTACCACTGACTGCCACCTCTGCTGCCCATATGAATACTTATGCTTCTAGCAGCTGCATTTTCTAAACACACTTTGTCTGCAAAATGCACTCACTTAGCTATATAGCACAGCTTCTTGGTCTGTCTTTGTACATTCCTAGACCCACGCTTGTCAACGTACCCAATACAAATCATTAGTGAAGAACTAATTTTATTTTGTATTGCTACTATTCTTCTCACGCTCTTTCTTATTGGTCACACTTCATAGTGAGGTTTACTTCTTTTCAGTCCTTTGTGAAAATAGATGCAGTTCAGGTGTTTAACCTTGAATAAGCAAAGGTACAACTGGAAATTTTCAAATCAAGATGTAGGATTCTTAATATTATCAATGGCATATAAATTTCTTTCCCTTAAAAAGAAATCTACACCAGCCATTAAAAAAACTTTCCATAAATCAAATGTAAGTAGAAGCACACTTCCCTCTACAACACAAGAAACTAGAACATCAGCTGTATAGTACTTCTCCTGACTACCTACCCTCTCCACACTTGGGCAAGGTAGTTACCAAGTGAAGAAGAGCCCAGGAGAAGGCCTAGGAAATTTTCTAATTGTACAAAAATTGCTGTACTCTGTACCTGAAGCAATGACCAGTATGTCCCACAGATATCCCTCAAGTTTCAAAGAGGGCACATGTTTAGATAGAAAGGTCAAAATCTTCTGTAGTGCAAACCCATTTTTACTTCTGCCATCTCATCACAGCTTCTCATAGCAAGCAAAAGTAAGCTGGACCTTACAGAACAGAGCCTGTTGTTACCAAAAAAGTATAGTGCAAATGAAGGGAATCACTGTCTTTTATCATTATTGTAGAGGCAAAGTAGCTCCGGAGAGGTTAACAGCTGGCCTCTCCCCAGCAGGCTGACACCCTATGGCTTTAAGAGCTAAGGGAGGACTCCCGTCCCCCACAGTGCTGAGCACCTGGGGCTCTGACCTGCCCCACCTCCTCCTCTTCCCAGCGGCTCTGTGGCAAATGAGAACTTACAAGCTTAAGCCTGAAAGTAAGTCAGTAAAACTACTCTTGCAAAGTAGAAAAGTGATCTATTTTCTGGATGTAAAAAGGTAATTTTACAAGGAGAAACACCTTAGAAAACCCAAAGTATTTGTTTCTTTGAATACTGGGACTAACCAACATTAGTACCTGAGGCAGGGAAACACAGCCAGAGCTGGCTCTCTGCAAGGCAAGAAACTCAAAGTGTAACAGAAATGGGACTGGTGAAATGGAGAACAGATGAGAACTAAACGGATAAACTCAAAGGAAGAAGAATATTTGTAATTTTTAAAACCATCAGGATTTCTCCATAAAAAAGCAAGTGCTTGGACAGCTGTGATAAATACCCTTGTAAGAGCAACAATAGACAGTTTGGTTGTTCTGTGCTTTTTTCCCCTGGGGATCTTTATTATTATGGGTTTTATGTATATTGACTCATTAAACAGAATGAGTACCTTAATCTATATGTTCAGACTAACTCAATGTCTTATATCTAAACCCTACCACTAATGGCATCTCATAATAGTCAATAGTAGCAAAACTCAACTTCCTCATGATGCCTTTAGATGCTACTATGAACTATCTACAGGTATATTTACAGTCACCTCTCCTCCTTGCCCATCTGTTTATATTTTAGATAATCCTGCAAACATATCTATACAGAGATATGAGAGAGCTATCTTATAAGCACCTATATATGCTAGGGAGAAAGCTAAAAAAAAAATTATTTTGCTGCTTTTGCTTACAGTAGTTCACCAAAAAGAATAAAACATATTGACAGAAAAACTTCTTGCCCTCTAAATTGACTCAAGATAAATGGCAAAAATTTTAAGCACCAACCAAGATTTTATGAGCTTAGAGATCCAAAACAGCCATACAGAGAAAGCAAGAAGAAATTTTGCCCTAACCAAGATACTTACATTTTGACCAGATATATCTTAAACAACGCATACATCGGCATCTCAGCCTCTTCACCTCATTGAGAAAAAGGTGCTATTCAACAAGATTCAAATCTATGAGTCTCACTAACAGAAATGGGAATCTGACAAGTCCTGCAGTTGGACAAACTATTCATAAATTTGTCATCTTTTGTTGCAAACCGATATCAAAGTTGGGGGTGGGACTTAAATACATAGGTGTTCAAACATTCAAAATTGTATTTGCTGTTCACACTCCTATTTGACCTCCTGTAATAGGAAACATATGGAAGAGTAAAGTTCTGAAGAAGATTGTTTCTATTTCAGAATTTCACTGTAAAACTGAAAAGTATACGTCTTGACAACACACAATCTACAAAGGAGATGAATTATTTGTGAAATTTGTATAACATGCATTTTGGTTCAAACATTCAAAATTGTATTTGCTGTTCACACTCCTATTTGACCTCCTGTAATAGGAAACATATGGAAGAGTAAAGTTCTGAAGAAGATTGTTTCTATTTCAGAATTTCACTGTAAAACTGAAAAGTATACGTCTTGACAACACACAATCTACAAAGGAGATGAATTATTTGTGAAATTTGTATAACATGCATTTTGACATTTATTTTTTAAACGTTATGTGTAAAAATCTGCAAACCATTTCTTTTAGATATTTATTTTTCTGTCTGAACTATATTTTTTCTGAAACAAGTTATTGTCTATTGAAATATTGGTACTTCTTGCAGAAAGTTTACAGATTAGTAGATAGTATTTAGCTTAGGAGAAAGACATTTCATTGCAAAAAGCTGTCATGCTGAAAACTGTCATATAAAACGTCACATTTTATAGCTGCAGTGGCTCAACTTTTCTCTCTAGTTAAGCTGTCAGTCACTTCATAAACATGATATTAGGTACTGTCACCCAAGCAGAAAAGAATAGATTCAGATTCTAAAATAAAACTGTCTTCTAAGACTTAAATCTTTATGTAAGACGTAATCTTTACTCAGAATCCCAATAAAGTGTTTCTGGGTAATGTATTAGATTTATATTCTCATTTCCTGTTTTCCCACAGGGAATAAAGTGGGAAACATTTTTCCATGTTGTATGCTGCTGAAGAACTAAGAAATATAAAACCTTCTTCATATGTACATACAGCTTGCTCTTTATGTCCCTGTTCAAATCAATAACAAAACTTCCAGTCATCAACAGATTTGATATATACATAGAGGAGTGAGCAGGTATATGTGATGGAGTACTGCAAGTTCTAGACTGTAAAGATTAACAACAAATTTAGTTCCTTTACCTCAGCTTTTTCACCATTTTAAATCAGTAAAAGTTAAAACGTTAATCATAGAATCATAGAATCATTAAGGTTGGAAAAGACCTCTAAGATCATCGAGTCCAACCGTCAACC